TACCTACTAAACTAAAAAAAAAAATAATATATATATATATATATATATTATATAATTTTTATGTGTGAAACCCTGTTAGATGGGTTTAGACTAATGCCAAAATGGGAGCTTTGTATGTGGGTGGGTTCACATGTATGTGGGTGGTGGGTTCACATGTACAGCTTTAGACTAAGCCAAAATAGGAGAAAGGGTCTAATCGCTTGTTCAAATGTTTACTTTGTCATGTAACTTTTCATTGTTTATCATGTTTCTTGGTTGACTATGAAATCTTTAATCCTAGAAATTGTTTGTGCTTTTCTTTGGGTTCTAGATAGAGGCTTCCCACAATGAAGCTAATTGGGAGAGGCTATGAAACAAGTTTATTCTTGTCACTAGAATTATTTCGTCCTGTAATTTTGTTGTGTTTTGGATGAGTGTAGTTGAGATGAAGGTGTTATAGATGGATGAGTGGGGAGACAATAATAGATAGAATTCGAAATGAATGCACTAAGATAACTTATGTGTTGCTGCGATAGGTGATAAGATGAGATAAAGTAGATTTAAGTTGGTTGGCCATGTGCAGTGCATATCCAGTACAATTTCTATTAGGAGGTACGAGTTGATTCAAGTGGAAGGATAAAAAATGGCAAGGGGTAGGCTCAAAAAGACATGGTTGGAAGTAGTGAGAAAAAATATGATGACTTATAGACTCACTGAAGTTATGGCCCTTAATAGAGCCTCTGTTGATGATGAATTTTATGGTGTATTTTGTTTATAACATTTTAACGAGGAGGCTAACTAGGAAATGTCATGGAATGATTAAATTCCCTTGCCATGTGATCCACTTGTAATATATGCATTATATGTTGGGCTATTATCCATCTATTCAAAGATTGATCCTTATGTCATGTGTCTTTTGTGATGACTTCCTTCAAGTTCACTTGGGATATATTCGATTGAATCAATGTCTAAACTTGGGACTGATTGAAGGAAAAATATACAAAGAGACCATTTGCTTTTAGCACAACGAGGTCACAATGACTTTCGTCCATTAGATTTTAAATTGGGTGGTAGTATATGTATCATTGACTAGACTTAGAGTTAAAAAAAAAACAAAAACCATTTACTTTTAGCACAACGAGGTCACAATGACTTTCGTCCATTAAATTTTAAATTGGGTAGTAGTATATGTGTCATTGACTAGGCTTAGATTTAAAAAAAAAAGAAAAAATCTCAAACATCATAACATACCCCAAGCCATCCAATTTGATATCTAATGGCTAAGAGTGAATGTGATCTTCTTGTAACAATAGTAAATGGTCTCATAGTATACAATCACCTCTTTAAAGTATCTTCAAAACAATTCCATAAATTTTTTGACACCAAAGCCAACTTCGAAGTCATTGCGCACAGTTGCACGATGTTCATACTAGCTCAGATTAGGAAGTAACTACTTGGGTTGGTTTGTTAGGGGGTTTCCACCATTCCTACTAGTTTGATATCCAAACAACAACAAGAGGTTAATAGAAGTCATCGCTTGAAGATTCTTATCTGTTGTTGCAACAGGTAAATGGTCACGCAAAGTCCACATAATCTCTCTCTCAAAGTTCATATAATTTCTCTCTCTCTCACTCTCTCTCCACTTCATTCAACAATGACCATGAGTAATGCTATTACAAGAGAAATTATCAAAATTCAAAACTATCTTTTTATTTTAGGTTCTTGGAAAAACATCCCAAATTTTCTAAAACCCCATTCATACACCTTTTCATCACGGTTAGCAATTTTGTGACCAAAATATCCTAATGTATGTACTAAATAAAGAAACCATCACAATAGTGTTTGGGCTATGACATAGTATCACAATTGTGCTACTATCGCGATGCTTGCATTTAAGAATCACAATTGAGTTAGAACACAATACCCATAACTTATTTAAACCTTTGAGAATAAAACATTTAATTTTTCAAAAGATATTTTTCAGAAAAAAAAACAGACCCTTAGAGAGGTTGAACCAGAAGGAGGAGTTTAAGGCAGAAAGCGATCTAATGGTTCTAACATCGGACCGCATGTTCACTTAAAAAATTCAACGGAATGTGATCAGATGGTTCTAACATCGGGCCGCTTGTTTCATAAAAAAATACAAAAGAGTGCAGTCCGATGGTTCGAACATTAGACTGCTTCGTTTACATGAAAACTATAGGGGTTATCAAGTGGTCCAGTATTTACAACATTGGACTGGGGGCAAACTTGTAAAAAAAAATAAAAAAATTTGAAAATCCGCTTTCCAAGTAATAACAACGTATTTTTGGGTCATTTCATTATAACGGTAAAAATACATGGCCCCAACATAAATTTCCCTATTAAAAAACTCAAAATTTAAAGTATTAAAATCAGTTTTTGAAAATTCAGTGGATTGGAAATCATGCTTTTCGTTTTGGATCGTGTACTCGATCATGATCAGGCCATGTCCCCCCTTTTATGCCCCTTTGAACTGGGTGGTCCAGATCGTTCCTCACTGGTTCTCTCATAGAAGTGGCCAGCTCTATCTGATTCTATTAGAGAAGCAGTTTAATTAATTTTTAATTTTTAATTTACTATTATTTGTTTAACTTTTTATTTGTAAGCTCATTTTTAAATATTTTTAAAGTTCTTTAGTACCGGTCATATGAGAAGCAGCTGGCTCTATCTGATTACTCTATTTGATTCTGCAAAAGAAGCAGTTTAATTAATTTTAAATTTTTTTATTTACTATTATTTGTTTAAATATTTATTTGTAAGCTCATTTTTAAATATTTTTAAATTTCTTTAGTACCGCCGGCTCTATCGGATTATGTCAGAGAACCAATTTAATTAATCTTTAGTTGTTTTAATTACTATTATTTGTTTAATTTTTTATTTGTAAGCTCATTTTTTAACATTTTGCAATTTTTTAAAAATGAAGGGCGGTGGCCCACATCATATTTTTTTAAAAGTCTTATAAAAAAACCTCTAGATACTAGTAAGCCCTACCTGCTCTCAAGTCAGCACCAGTGTTCACAAAACTGGCCGATCTAACCGCTAACCGTGCGGTTAAATTGAAACTGGATGGTTTCTGTTTTGGATGGTTTTGGTGATCAACCGGTATTTAAAAATATATATATAAATTCTCAAAAATAAGGAATTTGATTTGTAATGTACCTTTAAATATTATTTACATTATGGTAAAGATTACTTTTTTTTTGGTCATTAATACTCACTTTTTATATTTTCTCATATTTTTAAAAAAATTAAAAAAATAGCCCTAAAAAAATATAAAATGGGTTAAAATCTATTTTTTGTCATTAATTTTTAAAGGGAAAAGTTTATATAGGGTTGCAACCTTAAAATGTAGAATCACAGATGCACCTAAAAAATCTATCTGAAATGTTGTTTTAATGTTGAAAAATCCTTCTAATCAATCATTTCAGCATCGAGATGTATAAATATAAAAAAAAAAAAAATTTGAGTCTAAAAAATAGTGCATCTTGCAACACATTATCTAGACCATCCATTTTCAAGATTTTCATATATTTATAGATCAACTTGATTTTAACTATATTTTAAATTTTAAATTTTCTACTTAGGTATGAAAATAAATTGTAAAACAATACTAAAAAAATTACATATTATGATAAAATTTTAAGGTGCGCCTTTATTGGATTGTTTACCGTTGCAACCGTATAGAAACTGCACCCATTTTCAAATGAATGGGTTTTGTTTTAAAAAAATTAAAATTTTCAGTACTTTTTTGAGTCTCCAAGGCTTCCTCGGTTAACTCGCCTAGGGCCATGTCTGATTGACCGGACCGGTTTGATTTTGTAAAAATCGGTGAGCACACATGATGGATGAGCACGTACAAAACGAGACACCTTAAGGGCGGAGTCTGAGGGTTTTATGGAAGGTCTTCCTCCTTTGTTTTATGGATAAATAGGTCCCGCTTCTCTTCCCCTTCTCTCGTTCTCCCTTTCTCTCTTTTCTTTCTCTCTCTCACTATAAAGTTTGTTCCACTAATAATTTTATTTTTCTATTAAGTAATATAAACAAATAATCTCAACTAAATTCTCTCTCTATCTAGTAAAAGCTTATTCTATTAAATTTGCTTCATATGACTTCTTTCAAAAATCAAAACTATTAATTTAATGCAACAATTAAATAGATAAATTGAGTTAGAGAAATTCATTTTATGGTCATGCTGTATTTTAAACATTATTTTGATTATAAAATAAATATAATAGACAACAAACACTCAACATGAGATATGTTCTCAGTATTTACATATTTTTGACATAATAATAAAATGTCATATTGCATTTTGAACATTATTTTGATTATAAAATAAATTTAATAGA